CATGGAGTTCAAGGCACGACTTTCAACTATAACCCATTTACAATTAAAAAGGCTGCAGAGACATGCAGTGTATGATATGTGGGCCAGCTGCAACAATGCCCAGCTAGCTATAACAAAAGGATGATACTTGCTGGAGGCAATGCCCATTTCATTTTCACATTTACTTTGAGGGCAATCTTTTCAACTGACGGATCAAAACTGTGACTTAATCTGAAGCAAATGGTTAGTGTCCCTTGCCCCACCTAGGATTTATCCATACATGAAAAAGGATTTATTTAGTCTGGATACAATACAGCATATTTACCTCAGTTTGTATGGTGGTTTTTTGGCCCCAACAGCCACACATCTAATTGCTGTGCGAGGTAAATATAGAAATGTTATGTGTAACAACAAATAGCTTTTGCTTATACATGCACAAAAAACTTAAATCTGATCAGTAGGATAAAGCCGACGCTCAGCAATACATAAATGCATCAGTGGATTTTCAATATGTCAATAATATACGACTACTTCATGGATGATATTCCACTTTCAGCTCATCTTCTTCTCACATATTCATAGTGTGCAACACAATAAGTCAAAGGTTCTCAGAGCCATCATTATGCAAACCTCAATTTCACCAACCTCACTCATTCAGGGGATCAAAGGGCGTACTATATCTGACCGGAGACATAAACTGCCGATTAGCGAACAAGCTGTTTGACCTGAGCCGCTTAACAGACTGCCATCGAACAGGCAGGGGGTTGATGGGAAAAGGCAAGGAGCGGGTAACGTCTCTTTTTTTTCTTATAAGGCTATGACAAAAAGCTTTAAACTGAAGGACAAGAAGCAAAGACAGCCTTTAGTTTTGGCTTATTAAAACTCTTTTTTTTTTTTTTTTTTTTAACTAAGGTATGTCACATTTTCTACACTAAAAGTGCAATTAAGAAAACAAAAATATGACATCAAAGAATTCATTGGGCTTCCTCAGTTTTATTGGTGCAACATTTCAGCTTGAGCAACCCTAAGCAGTGAATGGCCAACCGGAAACTCCAAACTCTGCTCATTTATGCTCACCTAACACACCATACAGCTTAAACCACTACAGCCAACAAAAAAACTTGCTTCACTCACCAGTGAGGTGTCTTAAAATTTAAGCAAGTAAAGCTAATTTGCTCAGATTCATAGATTCACCCTTTTGAGTGTTCAACCTCTGCCTGTAAAAGAACAAGAGGATTTTGAAATGTCAGACTGAGAGAAAGAATGTAGATTCTCCAAAGCCAGCTGTACTAATAGCTATATACAAAATAATAGCACTAATAGCTATATACAAAATACACTAATACTTCAGAAGAAAAGTATAGCCCTGTCTGATCCTGTAATGTGCAGTAACTGTAGAACAATAAGAAAACATTTCAAACGTATTGGCCACAGAATTATCAGAATCAGCTGTAGTTCCAGGTATGTGCAAACATAAAGAATTTAACTTTAGATTATTTAATGCTCACAAGGTGTTTACTAATTCAACAACAATAATACTGTAAAAAAGATAAAAAATATGACTAGACTACAACCTGGACACATACAGCATAAACTAAATAGGCAGATTAAAACAATGGGGCAGCAGTGTATAGTGCTATGTAGGGTCTACCAGCGGGGAGAAGTTGGATCAAACTATGAAATGGGTGAAATGGTTCTGCAGTGATTTTTCCTGACCATTTCCTGGATTGGCAAATGTAAAAGTTCTAATGGATGATAGGTTGGTACCTTTAATTCCTTGCGCATGTGAGTTTGGTTGATGAACTCATGCGCTAAAGTATTTTGACATACCTACGAGTATGTGCAATTTCCTCTTCTGCGTTTTGACATAAATGTAAAGCAATACATTGTAGTCTTTTCCTTTACTTCTGACCAATAATATAACAAGACACTTGAAGTTGAGCTTCAACCTCCAAGTTGTGCTGATCTTCCTAATGAGGGTGTCATGCAAAAAAAATAAGTGAGAGAAAGAAAATCCTACTTGATTTCTGCAATGTGCTTAAAACAATTCCTCTGACCATGGTACTGGGGGTAGTGTCAGGGGAGGACATGAAAATGTTCCAGAAACAGCAGTTATAAAATATGTTTATGAGATTGTGTAGATGTTATCTCTAATATTTATTTTATTTCCACGCAAGCAATCAGCTGTTCCAGGAACAACAGCCTGGTCCGACCGAATGCAAAATCCATTTCAGACGATCAAAGAGAAAAGGGGACAGGTTTGCAAAAGTCTTATGAGTTTGGATTGGCTGAGATGGCCATAAACACTTAAAATGCTAGTGAGTTTCAATAAAACGTGCACTACTTTATTAGAATGTTGGGATTTTGATCATGGCTGTTAATAAACTACACAAAAATGGTGCCTGCTTCAGTATTCTCTTTGATCTGTTCTACTAATGCTGAATTCTCCTATAATCGCTGGAACCCCTTTGCTGGTAACTAAAAATAAATATCAGTGTTAAATATTTTAAAAGGTAAATGTGAGTGAATGCTCTATAAAGTAAAGGTAATTTAAAGGACCAACAACCAAATGAAATAGGGGTTGTTCCACACATCCATTGGTGTTGCATCTAGAAGGTTTTAAAAGAGATATGCAGTGCAGAAAGTTGTAATAATAACTTGCAGAACATCACATAAGTCTATTTGTTAATGACACCACAAGTGAACAGAAAATGCAGCTTTTAAAAGCAAGTGGAAAAAGGAATAGTTGTTTTCTTTTATGCATGCCATTACAATTGCAGGACTTTATCACAGTTGCCTCTATAGGCGCCATTAGTCAGTTCACAAGTGTGTGATTCCGGCTAAATTCATCAGGGTTGTGTGGGTGTGATGCTCTGTGCGCTTACATTCAACTAGCTACTTTGTTGAGTCTCCACCAGAGCAAAAGAACAGGGACAATGGTTGGTGAAGATGAATCACAAAAGACCAGCCACAAGTGAGCGGTATTCCCAATCACAGAGTCCACACAAGATTAAAAAAATAAATCTAGTGATACGAAAAGGCGCAGGTCGGGAGTCTGACTGATGACGGTGAATAGGATGGAGCTCAGATCTGTCCTTGGAATGGCGCCCACCTAAAAAGGTGATTTGCACCATTCAAAACAATATTTAGAACTTGCTTATCCCCAGAAGACATTACGCCTATGAACTACTGTAAAGACCCATGTTAATGCAACTTGTCACCAGAGAAGGAAAACCTCTGCAAAAATCAGCTTTGCTCTTATTTTGCCTTGTGTGAAAAGTGAAGCAAAAACAAAATGTTGACTTCGGTAGAGGTCAAATTAGAGTCTGGACCTGAATCCTATTAAGATATTGTGGCATGACCTTGAAAACATCATTCATACTGGAAAACCCTCCAATGTGGCTGATTTACAGCAATTCTGCAAAGATGAGGGGGACAAAGGTCTCTATGGTGCTGCAAGTGATTCATGGCAAAGCTTGCTAAAGCTATGGATACCCACAGCAGTTATCTCGTGTATGTGACCATCCCTTTTTACACAGCAGCATAGAGGTTTGGAGTTTTCCCCCTTAATAATAATAAAATGAAAAAAATAAATAAATAAAAGAAACATTGAAAAAAAAACTGCATTTTCTATTTACTAGTGATGAATCTGACAAATAAAATCTTTCTGATATCACAAGTGTGACAAATCTATAAAAAAAATCCAAATAAATAGAAATCAAGAAGGAGGCAAAAACCTTTTCACAACACTGTATCTGTGAACTTTAAACTTGGATCTTAGGACTTTATTTAAGACCATCCTAACCATGGTGAGGTGGGATTTAGTATAATAAACGCTCACAGACTTAACTATCTTTAGCAACTCAAATTAGCTATAATATATTTCTTTGCACAACATGCTTTCAAACAGCATAGCAACAATAGAAACGGAGTGGGTTAAACATTTGAAGAAAAAGAAAACACAATAGAAAAGCACATAAATTGTGATCAAATTGACTGTCACAAAGCTTTCTTTAAGTAGGGCAGCCATATTGGATTTTTGTAGTCGCAGTTGGTGAGAACCTTGGAAACCTCACACTTGACAATGAGTTGCATGCCCAACTCATCTACTTCCTGAACTTTGCCCAGCTTCTTAATCTGAAGTAACCATGGTTACTGTAATCCGACACACTTGGATTACCGTATTTTCTGGACTGCTGCTTTTTTTCCCATGCTTTGAAACATGTGGCTTATAAGAAGGTGCGGCCTTTCTGTGGATGTGTCCTTAACCAGAAGGGGACGTCAAAGTTGGAAATGAAAGAATAAAGGGCTAATTTCCATTTAGCATAAGGACATGCTAGCAGCCGCCATGATGGAGAACAAATGTCCCGAATTCACACATTAAACTTTACTGAGTGTGGCTTATAGTGAGGTGCGTTCTATACCTCAGAAAATATGGTAATCAGTCTGTCCAGTCAGCAACTGACTTTTTCCCAAATGTGAATTAAAATTTCAAAATTTCTGATTCAAAACAGAATGCAGTTAGACTGAAAAAAATGTAACTTTTTTATTTGCAAAAAATTTGTTATTATTTAGTTAGTTATTTTTCTTCTAAGAACTGTGTTCCTGACTCTTGGTTTTACCACTCTCCTCATCTTGGCTCAGCACAGACATTCTTATTGATCTGTTCATATGCACTTTAAAAGCTGCAAAGTCTTTCCCAAACACAGAAGCATTTCTTTTCAAAGTAATATTTTGCACAAAAAAAAACATGTAGAGTCCTATGAAAGAGAGAAGTGCTTTTACACAAGGATGGGGAAAATAGGTGAAAAAATAGATTGCTACAGACGTATTCAGAAAGTACAGCGACTCTGGGCGACAGAATGAAGACATGGAAAAAGTGTAAGAGAGGTATAAAAAAAAACAAAGGTAGACAGTGAATCATACGGTCAGAGTGACAGAGGCAGACTACATAATGAGAAAATTGAGAAGCTAAAAAATGACTGAAAAATGAAGGAAGATAGAGATCTAGGGACTTTTACCTTCTTTTTCAGCCCGGAATGTGAAAGTTCGAAGACCCGTGACAACCTCAAACTTGTTGTCACCCAGTCCCTTAATCTGTCTGATGGCGCTGACCAGAATAAGACCCTTGGAATACATCTCCTGAAAAGAGAAACAGATGATAAGCACTACACCCACACTTACACACTTGGCTACATTCAAGCAAATATTGTTATCGAATTCTTGCTTATTTCTATTATCCGCATCCATAAACACACAATGGCTTTTTCCCCCCAGTGCATTGTTTGCATCAATAGATGTGTAAATCTGACTTGTATTGCTGTCAGTTGGGATTGGGTTCAGTTTGAAACAGCACTGACAAACATCCTCATCAAAGCGGAACCGTATCCCATCAAATGCAGCGCTGTAGTCATTAGCACAAATGGCTACCTCTCGTCTTCTTTCATGAATCAACTTCAATAAACGGTAGTGAGACCTGAGGGTGAGTATAGTGAGAGAAAATGTAGCTAAAGCTGCTGGAATTCAAACCAGAACTTTTCCCATTACAATTCAGTCAGAAAGCCAAGTCAAATCAACATTGATGAGTTCTTCTCTCTAGACGTGCACAAAAAAATCAGCCAAAGATTGGGTTCTTCCAATTTTCAGCTAGATCAGTACTGACCAGTAATTGGCCACTAAAGAAACTCAAGAAATCAAACCTTTCTCTGATTGGAGAATGACACCACTGAGTGAACAGAACTTGCAGTAAATTGTTCGAGACATGTAAAATAACCCCAGTTCACCACCACATCCATAGCAAACGTCATAGTTTCCTGTCGAAGAAGCACAGTTCATCGCGTCTATTCTCTTACGCAGGCATCGTGACTACGCACCTGCTCCTAAATATATAATCAATGGCGTAAAAGACTCAGAAGGCTGATTTTATTATGTTTTTATGGAAAAATATCTCTACTGAGGTAACAGAAATAGATCAAATCTGTATTGACAGTTCAACACTTTGAAAAAAGAAGAAGATCTGTTGCGATTTTTGAGAAGTGCATCTCTAATTAGAAACAGAATTCAACCCAGTGCCATTTTCTGCATCTGAAAACCCACTTTACTCCGTCTATCAACGCAAAGCTTTCATCAGTATCTCAATCAAATGTTGCATCTCATTCAATTTCAACAAACAGCTCATGTTTTTTGTTCAAGCTTTGAATCTGTTAAATAGCACTAAGCCCTCCGACAAGCAGAATTCATTTCTGCTTGATAACAAACTGGACACTTGTGCCATCACAATTCATCGCGAAAGAGCCAAGCAGAATTAATAATAGCGTGATATTTTCACCTCACACTTGAATCTTGAAATGGGAAAGTTTCTAAATGTAAAGACGACCTGAAACGACTCAGAATTAGTGAACTGCAAAATATAAAACCAAGCACTAGACAATAAATCAAATAAGAGTTTTTTTTGTAGTCAAATAAGCGTATTAAACAAATCTAGATGCTAAAAACAGACTTCACAGATGTTAGAGAAGAAATGGGGACACAGACTGTTCTGGGATTTAGACCACAGAACAGTGTGGGTTCAGGTAAAGAAGAATCTGATTTACTGCGTTGTTATCATATCCTAATGTTTCCCCCCAAAGTAGCACTAAAATGTTGCATCAGAGGCTCCGTAGCCCTCTTTACAATCTCCCAGGATAATGGTAATTAAACTTCTGAGTCATTGTGGGTGTGAAACAGAGAGAAAAATATCAAGCCTCAATTTTATGACTGCTAAAAAAAACAAAGAGAGAATAGAACTGCTCTTAAAAGGGAAAAAAAAAAGGATTCAAAACCTTATATGAAGAGTATGGCACTGAACTTCCTTCAAAGTAGGTAGAAATTGTAAGTAGATTTCAAACTGTTAAGTTCTTGCATTAGATTGAACTCAGGAACAGTACATTGTGCTTCTGTAACGATGTGAAAACCATTCAGTTTGCATTTAAAGAAAAAAGGTCACAGCAGACATTGCATTATTCATGTTGATAATGTCATTATCATTGCAAAGTAAGAAAAAAAAAAAAGAAAAAAAAAGAGACATGACTCATTCATTCCCTCTGTTGCTCTTCAGCGGCATTGACATGAATTTCGATTCTCGGACGACAAAAAAATAAAAGCGTTACGTTGATTGGCATGCACAATGCTGCCTGTTGGCTCCGCTGTCCCATCCCAGGGTCCCGTCCTGCAAAGGCAGAGGGCAAAGGCAAAGAATGAGAGCAGAAAGAGGCGGTGAACTTCAGACTCCCTTTCGCCATTCTTAATTAAGCTGGTGACCTTGACGTTTGCAAGGAATAAAAAAACAAAAAAAAAGCATGACCAAAAACTGACTAGCACAGTAGCCATGGAGGGGAGGGGGGGCACATGGATGGAAGGTGCATGGAATTGGAAAAAAAAAAGAAATTAGGTTTGTGTGAAAAGGCCAAGGAGAGAAGTGAAAGAAAGAAAATGGAAAGAGCATAGAGGGAGAGATTCAGAGGAGAGAATAGAAGAAAAAAAAAAGAGTGAAACAGGGATCTAAAAGTGGCTCACGAGGAAAAAAAAAACTATACTTATGGGAAAGAGAGACATAATGTAGAAATGAAAATGCCTAAGAGGGTCAGGTAGGGGTCTTCCTCATATTAAAGCAGGATGTTAACAATGGCAAGAAGTGGCTCAACCTAATTACCGACCCGCAGCCTTGAACGCCTCTCTCCCTGGGAGTTTCACTGCGGTATCCGTCTCTTCCTCCCTCTAAATTTAGAAAGAAGCTAAAGGAAGGTGAGGAAGAGGAGCAAAACGAAGCATGTGTGTAAATGAATTATCTCTGCAGTTGTGCACCGATAATTACTGTATACCCCCCCAGTATGGGTTAACAGTAATTAGTTGCTTTAATTCTGGTTTGGGGGTCAGAAAGAAGAGAGTTTGTTTAATTGGTTGCTTTCCAACCTGTAAATATTGCAGAAGAAGAACAGGATGCGCTTGGAGAGCGAAGGCTTGTAAACGCTGTTTGCGACCGATCTCCAGAAGATCTCACTTGTACCCCTGATTCACCTCCTTCTGACCTCCTCCCTCTTTTCAACCATTCTTCGATCTACTTTCCAGCACAAATAGGCACTTTGTGCTTTACGCTCATAAACATTTGTCTACATCTGTCACATCACAGGGCTGTGTCAGTTTTTTAATCCCTGTTTTGAACAAATAAAAGTGTCTCTGCTGCGAGGGTAACTATGTTTCTTTTCTTTTCAAAAAGCAAACTGGTAACTTCAGGAAACAATTAAAGCAAAGCAATGGAGCTAAAGCCTACAATAATAGGGGCACCGTGAGGAGAATACAGGGAGGAAGGTAGAAAAAAAACATTAAAGAAAAAAAAAAAAAAAAGGTTCGAGGATGCTGTTTGCCAAAATGGAGTTTAAGCTGATACGTCTCAAACAGGCAGGTTTGCAGTGGAGGTACGAGGACACCAGCTGGTTGCTACAAAAACTGCATCTTTTGAAATGAGGCGAAATGCTTCATGCAATACATTAACAACCAACTTAGAAAAAAAAGAACTAATATGTTTTTTAAGTGCATTCTCGTTATATTCTTGTTTTTTCTTTTATACCACCAAAATACTCAATTAGAACCAAGATATTAGAGATGGGAGCCTCGCTGAAGACAATGTAAAAAGGTCATATTTGTAGATAATAAAGAAGATACATTTGTTTTACCAATAATAAACATATTTTCTCAGAATTTAAGAGCAACTTTTGGCAGGCAGAATGAGCAGAAAGAGTTTTTTAGTAAATTTACATTTCTCTTTTTCTAAATGTCACATATACATCATTGCCTTCTGTAATTTAGCCCTAAACTCTACATCTTCATCCTTTACTTCAGTTACACTGTACTAATAAACTGCTAACTGTTTGGAAGAAGGAAAACAGAGATGCTAATGTGGAGCTTTAGTATTTCTTTGTGAGTATAGAAGAAGCATTGTTCCCGTACTCCACCTATCAGGTCTTTAAGGTAGAATTACCAGATTCAAGTGGCTTTTCACTTCAGACACATGGAGCTATTTTTAAATTTCACCAAAAACACATCTTAGAGGTTGTCAGGTCAGGAGAAAGGAAATTTTCGGGTCTAAAACAAATAAGACCATTGTGCAAATTTTGGCCTCAACTAAAACCGTCATTATTGGGTGCCGCCATTGTGCCGTTGGGGGGTTTTTGCAAAATAGCAACTGGTTGACTTCTACGTCTTTCTGAGAAGCTTAACACAAAAATTATAGAAACATGTATGCAGATATTCAGGGGAAAAATATTATTTTTAGAAGAAGTCTATATTTTTGATGTGAATATTTTCTGGTGCCATTACATGCAACAATGCCACTTAGGACTTTGGGACAATTTCCGTCTTGCCTTTGGAAATGCTCACCAGACAGACTTAGAGGAACTTATACCACCATCATAATTCTAACAAACATCAAATAAAGAACACTGTGGATTAAAAAACTGTTAAGAGTTGAGACTACATAATTCCATAAGTTTTGCAACCACTTATGGCAATACAATCAGAATAAAGAATGTGCTGATTTTATAAGTCATCAATATGCTCTTAAATCAACTCTAAACAATGAGAAAAGTGAAAAGAACATCATGTGATTACTTAAAAAACATTACAATTAGTTGCATCACTTAGGGATCATCTGTCAATATGTTTCCATCAAACCATCAAGTGAGTTTTAAAAGCAGCTTGAATATATATAAAAAAAGGAAAAGAATAATTCAATCTAATGACTAATGTTGTCTGATAATATCATGAATTGTTGCAATTAGGGCTGAAACCATTGATTGTTTGCTAATCGATTAATCAGTCATTTTTTTATAGATTGATTAATAAACAGATAGGAAAGGTACCTTTAGGAAGATTTTATACAAAATTTAAAACCATGTGAAGCCAAAACTTCGCTTTTTGGGTAATTTTGGAAAGACCATATTCACAGACAAAAAAGTTTTTTTATTTAAATCAAAAGTTTATATATTTGCTACAATTACTGCAATGATTAAGTTGCTCTTTCAGCTAGCATGTGTTAAGAGTCTCTATATTCCAGTTAGTGATTACCAATTACTAAATTTTATTCCAATAAACATTAATCATGAGTG